AAAAAAAAAAAAAAAAAAACATAAAACAGACAGAAGAAACCATAAAAAAATTGAACATTAAATTTCAGAAGAACTATATGGATCTCCAATAAATGAATATTCAAATATTGAACAATAAACTCAAAGCCATAAAACAGATAAACAGCACAATATTAGATAAATCATCCATATTAAGCACATCAGATGAACCAATCAAGCTAACAACTCGCCATATCAATAGCCATCAAGCTAACATCATAAAAAACATACACGAAACAAAGATATTTACAAAAGACCCAACTCCATATCGCAGGAGCATAGCAATAGCAATAAGCAAAAGAACTCCACCACAAGACAAAGACTTTACCGGCCTGAGCTGGGGGAGGAGGCTTGGTCGGGAGCTTAGCCTGAGCAGCCTTAGCTCCACCAGACGCCGCCTTGGACGACGGGGCCGCTGCTTTCTTCGGCTCGGCTTTCAGCTGCTGAGCAGAAATCAGCAGCGACGGGTCCTCCGCATCATCATCACCCAGCAAATCGAACGGATTAGCTGTCGCCATTTCTCCCCCAAATCTGCACCAGCAACAAACCCCTCGCTATCGGATTACAGCGCGCGTGGAAACCCTATTCAAGAATTGCGTCCATGACTGCAGTAAACAATCAACAGATCTAAAAATGGCAGAAAAGATAAAGAGTAGAGTGGGTGCGATGAGAAGGAGAGTGTGTGTAGGGTTCGTGTGAGGAGTAAAACCCTAGCCGCAATGCAGAGTATAAATATGGAAAGAGAGAGAGAAAATGCGCGTGAGGTTATTCAGAGAATCCCGATTTTATTGTTACTGTTAGATTTTCCTTTTATTTAAAGATTAAAGATTATTTTATTCCAAAAAATAAGAAAATTGAAAATACTTTTTTTCTATATTCTCTCAAATATTCTAAATCTAATATATATATATAGATATAGATTGCTTTGAAAAATATATTTCAATGAAAAAAAAAAAGTGAGATAATAATGGGTAAAAAAATTGTTTGAAAAGATGAAATATTTTTGAAATTATGAATGGATGTAAGTTAAAATATAATGATTATGAATACAAATGATTAATACTCCCTCCGTTTACTATTAGATGTCGTTTTGACTTTTTTTATTCATCTATTTTGCTATGTATTTAGACAATAATGGATGACTCAAAAAAGGTAACCTTATTGTCTAGATACATAGCAAAATGGATGATGAATAAAAAAAGTCAAAACGACATCTAATAATAAACGGAGGGAGTATTTAAAAAAAAAAATATGAGTTGATAAATAATTTTTTTTTTAGAAATATGTACTAATAATTGATTTTTATTATTTAATCTAATAGTAAAATATATGTAAAATGATAAATAATAATTCTTATTGGAAAACATGTATTAAATGATTCATTTTTATTGTTTAATTGTATAAATAAAATTGGGAAGGAAAATACCGGTTTTTCTGAAAATAAAATTATTATCCAATGTGAAAAAAAAAAATAATAATAATAATAATAATAATAATCCAAGACAAAAGCGAA